TATGGTTTACATTTAACTAAATTATTTCATAACACATATTCTTTAGATTACTTCGACTTGTAAACAATAGCATTAATTAGTATTACCACAATAAAGGTCATCGACTAGCTATTAACGTGCTCGGACGTGTAGAGTAGTGCTATCGTCAGTGCCAATTCAATAAACAAAATAAGCTAAAAACCATAGTGCTTCTCAACACAGTGCTTAATATATTCCTTGTTACACTTTCGTAGCAATAACTTATAAACAAGTTCAGTGTTCGATCAAAATACCGTTTGTGCCTACCCAAAAATACCACCAACACCTGATCCGCCGGACAAAACAACAAACCGTTTTTTAATACTAAGGGAAATGGACACATACGACACACACACATTCCCTACACTTCAACAAAAACAAACAACACCCAGCCAACCAAAATACCTAACAATATCTTCAACTAATGGACAATTAATTAAACTTTCCCCGTTTGTAATAAAAAAAGGTATTGATGCGATATCTACCCAAATAGACAGCATTAAACAGCTTAAAGACGGTTCACTACTGGTTTTTGCACGCAATTCTAAAGTAGCTGAAAAATTTTTAAAAACCAAATCTCTTCTAAACATTTACCCTATCACAGTCAAGCTGCAAGACAACCTCAACACGGTGAAAGGTATAATATACGCCCCATGTCTCAACTTCGTAAAAGAAGATGAAATTGTCCAAGAGCTATAAAGTCAGGGAGTGACCAGTATTTTCAAATTCACCCGCACACTCGACGGAAAAACAACCCCCACCGGAAAAATCGTTGTAAACTTTGACCTGTATCACCTTCCAAAATCACTAGATGTGGCTTGGTACAAAGTAAAAGTGTATCCCTACTACACTAACCCCATGCGTTGCAGAAATTGCCAACTCCTAGGTCATACCAAAACCAGATGCTCTAATCCAAGCACCTGTGAAGGATGCAATTTGCCGCCCCATTCTCCAGTTGAATGCACACGCAAACAATGTGCAAACTGTGGTGAAAATCATTCCTCCTCTGATAAAGACTGCCCCAGGTACAAGCAAACAAAAGACATTTTAAAAATTAAAACGACAGAAAAATGCTCTATGGGGGAAGCGCGTCGCAAATATAATGAAAAACACACTCATACACAAAAACCACAAATTTCATACGCCAACATCACCAACCCAACCTTGAACAAACCAAGCACAAAAACAACGCCAAATACATCTACATCTACATCCGCAACATACAAACGTCCAGCTTCGCCAACAAAAGCTAATATAACTAAAATAGCAAAAACTCAAACGCATCTTAACAAACTCATAACCGACAACGACTCTACTACCAATAAGACATCCACCCAAAATACTCAATTTACAAACGAAAATGTAAACTCAAACAAGAAAAATCTACCAACAACTAATCCTTCTCACGAAGACTCACATACCCACTCTAGCCAAACGCAAATCTCTTCGCAAACCAACACCACTTCATCTCCACTCAGCCAAATAACACAACAATTATTAAACGAAAGCAGCTATTTCATGTCAGTCTCTGATTCCGAAGAAGAGCCTAAACTATAAAAAAACAAAAACAAAAACAAGCAAATTATCAAATCAAACATACATACTTACTCTAATATTACACATACATTCACAAATGATTTTTAAAATAATACAGTGGAACATTAAGGGCTTCCTAAACAACTATAATGAACTTAACATGCTAATAAAAGAACAAACTCCCACTTTCCTGTCTTTGCAAGAAACTCATTGCCCCGCAAATTTTTCTCCAATTGTACCCAAAAACTATCTCAGCTACTTCCATAACACCCCACAAAACACGACATCCAAACAAGGTGTTGGTGTACTAATAGAAACAAATATTCCACACAAAATAGTACCAATAAACACACATCTGCAAATAATCGCGGTCGAAATCAACTTAAACCCAAAATTTACAATAATAAGTTGTTACATACCACCTAATCAACAAATTCCCTGCCAACATCTAACCAATCTACTTGCGTCCATTCAAACACCAGTTGTACTGCTAGGTGACTTTAACAGCTGGAACCCTTTATGGGGCTCTCCATCGCCCAACTCTCGAGGACAAATTCTTGAAAACTTTATAAATGAAGCGGAACTATGCATTTTAAATGACGGTAGACCCACACATTTATCAACACATGGTACTTTAACACACATAGACATCACATGCTCCACACCAAACTTCCTTCCATTTATCACATGGAACGTTTTAGAAGACCTTTATCACAGCGATCACTTCCCTGTGATATCCACAATCACTCTATCACAAACTTACAACACCCACTACACAACAAAAAAGTTTTTATGCGATTTTGCAGAATGGGAAAAATTCAACCAAACTGTGGAAGGCCATACAGCGATAACCCAAACAAGGAAGCAAATAATCAGCGTTGCCATTTTAGCCGTTTTCCGGCTAGATTTAGCCGGTTTTGATAGCAACTAGCCGGAGAAAATTCGATCTAGCCGGCAGCCGATTTGTTAGCCGGTTTGTAAAAAAAAGTTAGCCGTTTTTAGCCGATTTTACTATTTGCCTAATTTTCAGGTGCAAAAAGTAAACAAGTTGTTCGAAAGCAATAATGCAGACCCAATGAAGATTTTTAATGAACTCAATGGTTTACTTTCGCATCTAACTTCCTAGTGGTTATTAGCGCGGACACATTTGATCCTATATGCTCCCCGTTGGAACCACACCTTGATCCATTTCCTCAGTTTTATCACAGTTTTGAAGAGTATTTAAAAACAAAAGTAAGCACAAACGCTTTTGACCACGAAGCCGAGAAAATAATTCGAGAAAATGGTCGCTATTTTATTATCACTTTAATAAAGGAATTACGCCAACGCCTCCCTCCAAATATTGCCACACTAAAAAAAATTGCCTTTTTTCGGTTGGAAATGCATTAAGAGTAATTAAACCAAAAGTATTTGTTCAACTACAGCAACAAAAACACAAATATAATGCCGACGAAATAACATCCATAGAGATGCAATGGCAACGGTTAACGTTACATACCTGGCGTAATTTAGACTCAACTGTAAAATTTTGGGCCGAAGTTTATCAATTTCGAAATGCCCTAGGAGAAAACCCTTTTGCTGACCTTTGCAACCTAGTTTTTAGTTTTCTTGTTTTGCCTATAAGTAATGCAGAAGTAGAGCGAATATTTAGTTCAATGAATATAATAAAAACTAAGCAAAGAAATCCAATGTGCGTTAAAACGTTAAACGCTATTTTATATATAAGATACGGTTTAAAACGTGAAGAAAAATGCTGCCATAATTTTACTGTAGATGACGATCTCTTAAAATTAATGAATTCAGGTATTGTATATAACAGTGATTCATTTGATGATGGAATACACTGATGAGGAATATACACTCTATATAAATTAATGGTGTTAACTAGTCTTTCGTTTCTTGCGATTTATTTAAATAAAGCATGTGAATTTTCACTAAAACATTTTAGCCGTTTTTAGCCGCTTTTTTTTGCCCATCTAGCCGGTCGGCCCAAAAAGTTCTGGCAACACTGCAAATAATATGACCAACGCAATACGTACAGCAGCTAACCTATACGACCCTCAATCTTCAAATAGAGGCAGAAAACGCGTACCTTGGTGGAACTCATNGAACTCAGGGCTGGCTTTTTTACGAAGTGGAAAGATGGCAGCATGGCACACTTTCCGTAGACACCCAACACAACTAAATCTCTTAGAATACAAAAGAAGAAATGCAATTTTTCGCAGAGAAATGAAGCAACAAAAGAAATCCAGCTTTCAAGACTTCGCAAAAACAATAAACGTCAACACATCAGCACAGGAATTATGGAGTAAAGTCAAAAGACTAACAAATCAGAACACGCAACACTCAATTATAGCACTTCAAATCCACAACATATAATTACTCACCCCAAGTTAATAGCCCACCATTTTGCCCAAAACTTGTCAGAGCACTCATTAGACGAAAACTTTCCCGACCAGTTCAGACAAGCAAAGTCGCTGCAACAAACTCCCAATCAAGTTACCTCGAAAAGTGCAAGGGAAATGGAAGCCGACATAACAATTAGTAGTAGTAGTAGTAGATTCTTTATTTAGCCGTAGCTATTTAAAACTTTCAGGTACAGTTTAGAAATACAAAATGTATCTTAAGAATAGTTAATTGACTTATTGTGAGCTATAATGTTCTCTAATATGATATATTATCAGTCTTTTAAATACATTAATATTTCTTTCGTTTTTTATATTGCTTGGCAATTCATTGAATAGTTTTAGACCTTTATACATTAAAACATTTTGTGCCTTATTGGATTTATGAAATTTGATTCTAAAATCATTCTTGTTTCTTAAGCTGTAGGGTTGCGCATCTCCCACATATGTTATTTGACTCGTTAAGTACTTTGGTAATAGATGATATTTCATTTTAAACACAAAAAGGAGTACGTTCATAGTGGTTCTTTGATTAATATTTAACCATTGCAGTGTGTCTAGCATATAGGTGATTGGCGTCAGCCTGCTACATAGTAGTATACACCGCATCCCTTTGTTTTGTAGTTTTTGCAGCCTGTTTTTCATCTGTGTTGATCCCAGGAATAAAATGGTTGAACAGTAATCAAAGTGTGGCGAAAAAATCCAATTTTTTTTGAGATTTTCCTGCAGATGTAATCTATGTGTTTATCAAAATTTAGCTTTTTGTCAATGACAATGCCGAGAGATTTTATTTCATCAACTTTATCTATTATTGCATCGTTAACTATAATATTATCTTCAGATTCGCCATTGATCACAATTGCTTTCGTTTTTTTTACGTTGAGTTTTAGCTTGTTCATATTAACGTAGTTATAGACAAATTTCAAATTATAATTCAATCTAGCTATACACTCCTGACTTGATTTTCCAGACGTATATAATAGTGTGTCATCTGCAAACTGACAGATTTTAACTCCTTGTAGTATATTTTCCATATATTTTGTATGTAGAACTACCACTAACCACTTCTTCTTTATCTGTGACACTAACCTTTGGCACAACCGCTGCTTTGTATGTTGAATTTTTACTGGCCACCTTTTCTTTGTTACAAACATTAAGATTCGTTACACTGTTTACAACATCTGTGTCTGCAGTTTCATCCATAAACTCTACATCACCGATTTTAAGCTTGGCTTCGCTTGCCTGAATAAAATTTCTGCCTAAAATAACTGAATAACTAATCGATTCGTCAGGAACTACTATAAGTTCAATCAACACGTTTTTATTGAGCACTTTGACATAACAAAATATTTTTCCAAAAATTGATAGTTTTGACTTATTGAGACCATAGTATGAGTTTCTTTCATCTTGTAACTGCACTCTTCCCGGTACAAGGCTCTTCTTTACAAGACTTATTGGGCTCCCCGAATCGACTAGGCATTCTATAACCATATCAACATTAAGATTATCTACGATACTAATACTAAAATAACTTACAAAATTGCTACTGGATGTCGACTTCTTGTAGTTTTTGCAGCTCGCCGCAAAATGTCCGCGTTCGCCACACGCAAAGCACGTCCCGTATTCGCGCTTAGGCTTGCTGCACTCTTTTGCGATGTGGCCGGAGCAATTGCAGTTGTAGCACCTTAGCCGCTCTTCACCACTTTGTAAATTCGTTTTTGGTGCGGCTCGTCGCGGCAACTCGACAGTCCGAAATGCTCTAGTCACCTCACCAGCACTTTTAAAATTCTGAAGCTTGGCTTGTATCTGCAATTGTTTATTAGGAATGCCGTCTACGAGGTATTCAACAAATTCTTCGTCGCATAGGTTGAGGCCAGCGCTTAACAGCCGCTTCTCGTTAGCGTAGCTACTGAACTCTTCACCAAACTTCCAAATTCGCCTTTCAAATTTTCTACGTACATTGAGCAAGTTGTCTTTCTTTGCGAATATTGCCTCCATTTCTGCGAGGATTTCGCCAACAGTGCGCATAAACATCTTGTTGGAGTTGTACCACATCAGGGCTTCGCCTTTCATTTTGAGCCGTACGACTAAACTTAACGCCTCATCGCTGACTTGTAAAACTCGCTGAAAATGGAGCAACTGAGACCGCCACATGTCAAAATCCTCGCTTCCGTCATAGTCGGCATAAGCTCTTTCATAGTCTCCAACCCAGGTTTAGCGTTGTCTGTTGCGACCGTCAATTTCGCTCCGCCTTGTTGTAGCTCTAATTTTAGTTTAAGCAACTCTATCTCCTTTTCTAATAGACTTACTTTCGTACCATCGAATTCACGGGTGTTACTTGGGCCGCACCCTAGCTCACTTGTCACGCTAACAATTTCTTGCGAAAATTCGCGCCGCTCTACGCCACTGCCTCTATTCGCACCGTCGTTGCTATACGCACCGTCGTTGTTATGCGCACCATCGTTGTTAGACGCACCATCGTTGTTAGACGCACCATCGTTGTTAGACGCACCATCGCTGTTANACGCANCATCGTTATTCGTGCCGTNTCTATCATTTGTAAAATCGCCATCATCGTCGTTATTCGCTCCATCGTTGCCACGCTCACCATCGCCGTTATTCGCACCTTTGTCATTGGTTGATCCCTCGCCGTTATTCGCGTCGTTGCCGTTGTTTGGTCCATCGCCGCTATTCGCACCATTGCCAGCACCTTCGCCGTTATTTTTTTCTTTGGCTGTACCATTGCCTCCATCGATATTTGGTGGCACCGTAGCTTTCGCGCCGCGTTTTTCTGGCACACTATCACCTCCAGGCACGTCAATGGCTCCTGGACACAAGCCCCGTGCTTCTGCCGACAGCTCGCTAAGTCGTGCAGCCAGCGACGCTTTTGCTCCACTAGCGTTGAGCCCCACTGCCGTGCACCACGCTTTTAATTGAAGTAGCGAGTACTTCTCCGCGTTAATTGTTTCCCGATTCATATTGAAATTTTAAAAGCTTTACGTTGGAAGGGTTCTGTGACCACTTCTGATGAAATGTACAGGTTCAAGTTAATAAAGTGGTAGCCGGGTTTTAAATAAAACACCTTCTCCTTTCGCTGCACAAATTGGAATGTCTTCTTTTATTCTTTTCTTTTCACAAGATGGTGTCTTATAACTAAATCTTAAGGTCTAGTTACACTATTCGTGTACTAAAAATATGCTAAAGGGACTATTACACTATTACAATGATTTACATGATTTATTAATCTATTACTTAAGCTAGCCTATACAACGCTACTACA